CACCGTGCCGTTCGGGAATGCTACGTCCATGGGCGACAAGGCGCGGGACTTCGCTGTGGCCAACTTCGAGGCGGGCAAAGTAGATGTCTGCGCTTTTGCTGAGACGCGCGTTTCACGTTCTAATTCGGCCACCTGGCTTAAAAAGGCTCGTCGAGCCAATGTCGGATTGCATATGAACCCAGCTCGCAAGACTGGCCGCGCGGTCACGGTGCTCGGCCAAACTCGCGACACGTAGGGGGGGGGGGGGGGATTTTGACGCCTGGCCACAGGCAAGCGCGCGCTCCCACGTTCACCAGCTCGATCGCGCCCAGGAGTTCCAATGCGATGGCCAGGTTGCAGTTGACGGTTTCGCGGCTGCACATATACATATGTCTGGGTACTCGTATGTTTTAGTTGCATGTATGTTTTCACCTCGGTCGGCACGGCCAGCATGGACCGTGCTAGGCTCGGCGAGGTGGGGGGGCCTTTCTGGCCGCGCCGAAACATCCATGGGGCCTAGTGTGAGATTTCAACATGTCAGCGGCTGTTCTCGGTAAAGCTGGATTTTCCACTCGCGTAGGCGGTCACCCTGCGCACCCTAGTACAGAATGCACGTGTGACGCGGGTAAGTCTGGGCCCAATATCGACCTTGTCGTCATCAGCGCGGCCGCAGCCCCCTTTTTCTCATTCGATTTCGCTTGTTTTAAGGTCCCGTGGAAAACTCACTGCGGTCTCGAGATTTTGAGATCGACAGGTACGCAGTTAATCCAGAGGGCCCTTGTGCTTCCGACGAAGCCACCTCAAGTTGCCAGGCCCACCACGAGGCCCACCGAGGGCTCCAAGTCTCAGGCAGCTAAGGCACAAGCTTAAAACCGAAGTGTTTGCTGATCGTAGGTCGCAGTATTACTCTAATCTCTTTGGTGGCGCGCGGTCGCGCGAGGACGACGAACGCAACCGCGCCCGAGAGGTCAGCGCACCCACCGACCTTGATGATTTGTCTGGTGCGCCATCCGAGGAGAATCCTTGGGCGCACGAGCAGAACTTCGTGGGTGTTCACGCGTCAGATTCGCAGGGGCGGCAGGATGCGACTGCTTCTGAGGGCGACGACCCCGCCCGCCCTTCCGACGGCAGTGCTCGGGGCCGATCGGGCCAGCGCGGCATTCCCATCATGGGAGGGCGATTTCATTTGCCCCACTACGCGCAGTCTATCGCGCGGGGCATTGCTGGTGATGATCACATATCGTCGTCTCTGAGCCACACAGTCGACCCCCCTGCTGTTTGTGAACAGGTGCGTGTCCCGAACAAGTCTCGGGCAACACCTTTTTAGCAATGTTACCGCTACCTGGTGGGAACAGCTTTCGGTTGTATTGGAACGCACCCAGGGGCATAGACCCAAAGGCAATAGGGCGGTTCAGAGAGAGCAACTACGAGTGGCGCTTCGGCATCTTATGGATGAGGCCCCAGACAGGGCCCGTGCGGGGATTCGGTCTGGGGTGAAGCCGTCTTGGGCAGCGTGGTCTATGCTCATGCAGAGAGGGGCTTCAGTTCCAGCTAATATTCTCCAGAAGGTTGTCAAGGCAGCGAAATGCGTTGCAGCGCGATGCCGACGCATGGCATTACGCGCTTCTCTCGACGAGTTTAAAGATTGGATCAATACCAAAGAGGCTGAGGGTTCATTACAACGAGCGATTCGGGCTGGCCCCCAGGTCGCCGATGGAAATGGTTACTGCGACCGCCGTGGTTTGCAACCCTATCGGCAAGGTGGACCAGAAAGCCAAACCAGTTATCAAGTTGTGGGCCCCCAGCCCAGTGGACACCGATGCAGTATGCCATGCGTTTGAAGAAGTTCGTGCGGCGGCGTATTTAGAGCCGCGAGAACCATTGGATATTGCATATATACGTAGCGCAGCACATTCATTCAAGCCCCGCGCAGGCTTAGGAGCGGATGTTCTCACTCCGTTGGATTATGAGAGTTTACCCGACTTGGCTCTTGACGAGCTTCGCATGTTGTTTTTCTCTTGTGGAAGAAACTCTGGTCTGGCCCGCCCAAGCGTTTCTGGTTCTTGGGAGGCGTTTGCCCAGAAAGTCCAAAGGGGATAGAGCGATCGGAGTTCTTACCACGTTTACGCGTGTTTGGCCTAAAGCCAGGGAGCTTGTCGTTCAAGCGTGGAGTTTGGCCAATGAGCCAAGCCGGGGCGCAGCTGTCAAAGGCAATGGAGCCTTGCAGGAGGCATCCCATCGTGTTTTGGAGAATGAGGTGACTGGCGCGCTGGGGGGCCCCTCAGGTAAAGGTCTTTTAGACGTAGAGAGTTTGTGCGATTCTATGGAATGGGAGGCGCTTATTCGGACCGCCTTGAGGCTAAGATTTCCTGCTACTATTCTAGATTTAGAGTTACTTCTATGCGTCTCGCCTCGCACGTCGGGGCAGAGTGGTTCACATGCAGAAGCGTTTTGCCCGCCGCGGTCTATTATCCAAGGACTACGTTCAGGGACCAGACTTGCCAGGTGTTTGGTGTTTTTCGTTATTCATCGCATTGCGATTGCAAACGAAAACATGCCCACCAGGATCTGGATCGACGATCTGTCTCAAAGAGTTGTTGGGTCCAGGGCAAGCATTCGCAAGCAGTTGTTTAAAGGTCCATTGGCCACTTGTCCCGGCCTGCAAAGCGCCCAGCTTCGTGTATCGCCAAAGTCGGTGATCATCTGCTCACATATTCCTGATGCCAAGTGCATTGCCAGTCGGCTGTCACAAGCAGGATTCACAGTTTCGGCAGTGGCGCAGGCAGGCTATCTGGGAACGGATTTGGGAGGGGGCAGGAGGCATGCGCGAGGCAATCGTACTATGCGCGTGGTTAAAGGAGTGGCAATGCATTCCAGAGTACTTCGTTTGGCCCGTGCTGCACGCAAGTATGCTGGTACAGTCAAGCCTGAGAGAGCTGGCACTCTTGCTGCGCAGCTTTATGCACATCATATTCATGGTGTATTTGGATCGGCTATGATCCGTTGCCGTCGTCAAATGGGGGCCGGTTGTGGATCTGAGAAAAAGGGGCGCTGCCTCACGACCCTCCTGGATTTAAGGGCTCCCATGGGAGACCCAGCTGTGTATTTCCTTCGGCTGTGTTTCGAATTTTGGATGAGGCAATGGACCATGCAACCTTCCATCCCTTCAGGGCCACGCAGGGCCTGGCTTGTCTTGTTGCGGAAGCTTCAGCAGGCCTCCCCTCAGCATCGGTCGCGCCATGTCAGGGGTCCCATGGGGGCCATCATGCTGTGCTTGCTGGAGGCTGGATGGGAACCCCTGGAGCCCGATCATTGGAAGGCCCCTTCTGACTTTCCTGTAGATTTGGAGGCCCGGAGGTTTCCTGAAGAAGGGCTCTCGGGTAATATTATTTTAGATTCTCCCGAGCCTGTTATTCGTGACGTCATGTCATCTATTCAATCTAAGTTGTGGCATCGCGCGGCCGAGCACTGGTGTGGAGATGGCGCTCAGAATGGCGTGGACAGCACGTCTTATCGCAGGCTCATTTCTCAGCTTAAGCTGGTTTCGCAAGGCGAACGCTTGAGTGAACTTATGGCGTCGATTGCCTGTGGGGGTATTTGCCCCAGGGCTCGCGTTAACTCTGAACTTGGCGCCAGCTTTGACGACCTCTGTCCGCGGTGACAGAAGTATCCTGAAACGGCGTTTCATCGCGCCTGGGGTTGCGAAGATAATGTTGGCGCCGCGGCATATGAGCAATCACAGGATCTTGTTGCAGAAGCGTTCGCTCAAGCAGAGGCGCCACCTTCTTTCTGGCGACGCGGCCTTATTCCAGCATCCGCCACTGCGCTTCCTCCTCCTCCCGACTCCGAGTTCTGGTGGACATCTGGATGCAATGATTTGAGCGTTGGCTCCATGGGCCGTGGGGGGCCCGGGGGCCCGCTCCTGGTCTTCGGCGACGCTTCTGGTGGGAAAACTTCGGGTGAAAGCAGGTTTCGCCGCGTCGGGGTTGCCATTGTCACGTTGGATTGTTGTTTCCCAGTCTCTATTCGGTCGTCCGCTTTTGGACGGCTACCAGGCTGCCGCCAATCAGTGCCTCGAGGTGAATTGCTGGCTTTCGATTTAGCTCTACGCGCGACAGTCGGCCATATCTGCTATGTGACCGACAACGAGTCGGTGATCCGAGGATTTGATGGTGGAAAATGCGAGGTGCCGAGTGGTGCTGACGCTGATTTGTGGCTGAGAGTTTCAAAGCTCCTGGCACAGAGGTTTGGAGAGTTTGCCATGATTTTTACCAATTCTCATCCATCGAGTTCTGATGTAGTTGATCGCTCCATTCCCTCTGCTCTTGTTGCAGGTAATATTGTTGCTGATGTCCTCGGGGGTCAGGCCGCCGCCCGCGCCCAGATCCCAGAGGCAGCCAGGCATCAGGTCATGATCGTGGAGAAGAGAGCCCGGCAGGCGCGGCATCGCCTGCTACGCGCGCCCCTGGGCGCCATGCAGGCCGAGGAGCGGGGTGGCGGAGGCAGAAGAGCGGGGCCCTCTCGCCCCCCCCCCCCGTCCTCCCGCCCTTGCCTTTATTGCTGCCTTCTCTTCTTACCATCAGCTCGATGAGTCCAGGAAAAGATGTCTTTGTTGTTTCGGTTCTGCCACCTGGGCCACTATGAAGGAGTGGCATGGGTCCCCGTGTTTCACCCCGACCCTCGTTAATGATAAGTATCTTGCCCTTCCCCTGGGGGGGGCGGCCCCACATTGCGGGGGGGTGGGCTCACTAGACGCACTCCATGAGGCCCCAGAGGGCCCATCATCGTTGGTTATGTCAAGCTTGCGGTTTCTATGCTCATGTTACCATGCGTGAGCTGTCGAAACCATGTTCACATAAGCTGGAATCCCATCGACGAGAATATTTGTCTCGCATCGAAGATGGCTTATGGCCGAAAGCTCTCAGTGCTGCTGAGAAGCTCACTCGTGGCCAGTAATTCTTGAACCACTACGTGGGATAGCCTGTTCCGGTTCCTGCTCCTCCTCCTCCCCCCTCATCCGTAGCCATTTTGGCTGAAGCCGGCTGCGGGGCTGGGTCGGCGCGCGTCCCGTTCGCGCGACACCTGGGCCTGGCATGGCGACGGTCGACGGCCGCTCCCGCATGGAGGCTCTGGCACCGCTGGTTCGCGCGGCTGTCGCTGGAGCCGCCGAGGGCGGCGGAGGGCGCCACCTCGTGGCGGCGGCGGCGGCGGCGGCGATCCGCGCGGGCGTGACCCTGCTCGAGGCGCCGCTGGAGACCGCCGTGGACAAGGACGTCGCGGTGCGCGAGGCGTTGGCACGCCCGCGCCTCCGCATCCAGGTGGCGGCTGGGCTCGAGGGCTCCGAGCCCCGAGCCTCGGGCAACTGGGCCTTGCACAACGACTTCGGAAAAGGCGCCGACGCAGCGCCTGACTCACCGCAGGAGGCCAAGCGCAGGGCCCGCGGCCCGCGCAAGAGAGGCCGCCGCAGGGTTGGCTCAGCGATGTCGACCGACTCGTCGGAGAAGGTCGGGACCTCGCACACGGCGGACGAGCTGTCGGAGCAGGCCAACGCTGGCTCGACGGGGGCCGTCAAAGACAACGACGTAGGCGACGACATGACCCTCGGGCACGTGGTGGTGGAGCTCTGCACGGAGAAGGCCTTCGTGGGCCTCAACACGACGAGCGACCAGGAACTCGTCGACCGCCCGATGGAGCCCGATGCGAAGCTGGAGTCAGCTTGGAGGAGGACCTCACCCAGAAGACCCTCGTCCTGCACGCCGCGGCAGCGACCGTCGCGAAGATCGAGGACGACCTGGCCGCGGCCATGAAGGCGGCCAACATCGCCACCCACGATATGCTCGTGGTGCAGAAGCTCATCAAGGAGAGGGGCTACGACGCCGTCCAGCCCGGCGCTCTCGGTGCTCCTGATGGGCTTCGTGATCCTCAGCGGGTGGGCACCCGTTAACAGCCCTCCGGATGTCTTCGGCGGTTTCCTGGTCGTCGCGCTGCTCGTCGGCACGCTCGCTTCCGGTCCACGCGGCACCCGTCGGCCTGTCCATGGACCTGTTCGGCGAGGGCCTCGTGTGCCCGTGCGTTCGGACTTCCGTTCTCCGTCATTTGGAATAGCTCTGAAATAGCTCTTCCTCCCTCCTCACGAGGATAGATGCCTGAAGACCACTGGGGGGCCCACAGGCACGGTGGAGGATCTCTGCCTTGGTAGGTTGCGGTCGTAGTCAAGCAGGGCGCTTTCCCGGCGTTGTTGTTGGCCTCGGCGGTTTATTGGCCTCGCAGCAGCTGCATGCGCAGAAGTGTTGCTCAACCCTGCTCGGGTGCAACTCTTGGGAGGTCAAATTCTGATTTGGCTCTGGTCCGAAGTCCGCCTTAATCCGGCATGATCCCGCTTCATCTGGTTGAATCCCGCTCAATCCCGTTTAATCCGGCTTAATCCCGCTTGATCCCGCTTAATCCGGCTTAATCTTGCTTAATCCGAGGCCTTTTCCGGCGTAGCAGCCCCCTAACGGGGCTTAATCCTTTTTAATCCTTCCGACGAAGACCTCCCTGTAGTTGCCTCTGAACATCCTGTCTTCCAGTTCGGGGCTGTCAGTTTGGCTTCTCCCCCCTCCGGGTGTCCCTCTTCGCCCCCATGGGTTTTGGTCTCGCGCCGCTCAGGCCGCGGCCGTACACGCTTGTTGCTGCTCGTTGTTGTTCATCGCTGTGTTGCCCCCTCTCGCGTGCTCGCATCCATCCGTGCGATCTGATTGGCGATGTCTGGTTTTCCTTCGTCCACGCATTGCCAGATGTTTTGTTTGCTGTTGCCTTGGCATCCACAGTCGAGCTCGACGTTCGTCTTTATCCGTCTCGCTTCCAAGCTGGACCTCCGAGCCCCCCATGTTTTCCCGCTCGACTCGTGGTCTGCCTGTCGCAGGATTTGTTCGTTTGTGCGCGCACAGGTTCAAATTGCGGCAGTGGCCGCAGTGCGTCACGGGTGTTGGCAGCAGCGCCGCAAACAGTCACATGTATTGAGTACGCCTAGAGCAACGGCAGCGGCGAACTCGCCCCATTTATTCTACCTTCGCCTCCTGTCCCGCGTTATTCCGCCATTCGTTCTCCACTCTCCTTCCTGTTTCCTCCTCGCACTCACCGCATCCCCGTCCACCCCCCTCCTCTTCACCTCCTCTCCCCAGGCTGCTTGTTCCCTCTCGCCATCCTCTTCCACTCTCCCGTCCGCGGCGTCGGTCGCCGGACGACGGTCGTCACCGACGGCAGCGGCGACGACGACGACTACGACGAAAGCAGGCGGCGGGCGAGGCACGACGCCCGACGGCGACAGCGACATCGACGACGACGACGACGGCGACGACGGACGTCGACGACTACGACGACGACGACGACGACGACGACGACGGCGACGACGATGGCGACGACGACGGCGACCGCGACGGCGACGGCGACGGCGACGGCGACGGCGACGACCTCGCGGAGCCTTGCCTCAGAGCCCGGCGCCGGCTGAGGCCGTCGGCCCCGCAGCTGGAGGGAGGCCTCTGACAGGACGCCGTGCGGGCCAGAGGGGGTCGCCGTCGCGGTCGCGGTCGTCTTCGCCGTCGTCGTCGCCGTCGTAGACGTAGTCGTGGTCGTAGTCGTAGTCGTAGTGGTAGTCAGTGTCGCCGCCCGCGCCTCCGTCGGGGTCCCTGGCCGACTGCCTGTTGCCCCTCGGGGCCGGTGGCCAGGAGTCCCCAGGCCTTCACCAAATCTTGTCCGAACAGGTTGAGGAGGAGGTAAGGAGGAGGAGGAGGAGAAATAGGGACGCTCCCTGTCCAGTTCGAGCCGCTGGCACATATGACCGTTCGCGTGCGCGGGCGCGCCCGAGAGAGGGCGGGGTGGGCGGGGAGGAGGAGGGGCAGGAGGAGGATGCACAGCAAAAGGAGGCGGAGGAGGAGGACGATGGAGGAGGAGGAGGAGGAGGAGGAGGAGGAGGAGCACGAGGAGGAGGAGGAGGAGGAGGGCCGGGATGGGCAGGAGGCGAAACAGGACGGAGCAGCAGGACTAGGGAAATCAAGCGGAGGGTGGCACGAACGAGGAGGGAACGAAAACGTCTAGGCCTCCCAGATGGGGTCCGAGCAGTTGGGGTCGGAGGATCATGCCGCATCTCCAATGCGTCGGCGATGCGTCTCGATGTGGAGCCCGATATTCTCCACGCCGATGGCGCTGATACGCGCGATCCTCCGCTCCCAACTACTTGGCCCCCGTTTGGGATGCGTCCAAGGATGGCGAGGGCAGGCAGTTCGAGGTTCTCAGTTCAGAGCTCTAGGATTTTGAAGCTATTCGCCGTCTGCAGATCCTGTGGGGCGTCTTCCTCTTTGGCCACGGCTGAGCGCAGTTCGAAGCATTGGCCCAGAGGGGTGCAGCTGGAAGGGGAGGGGACGAAGAGAGGCGGGAGTCGGAGGTTGGGGAGGCTGGAAAACAGGGGCCTTGGCATCGTTCGGACTTGTTCCCAACCATCCTGTGGTGTTGGGTCCTCGTTTTGAAGAGACAGCGCCCGCGTCCTCACTCCTCTCCTCCTCCCCCCCTCCTCCCCCTCCTCCCTCCTCCCTCCTCCCTCTCATCATCATCATCGTCATCGCCATCATCATCATCGTCATCGTCATCGTCATCATCATCAGCACCAACATGGTCGTCATCATCACCATCACCCTCCGCATGCCTCTATTTCGGCACACCCATCACACGGTTCGTGGCCCCGTAGGGAGCTCCACCGAAGCCCCCAGTGGCAGGGTTCGCATGGCGGCCCCGCCCCATTTTGGCGCACCCCTCACACGGTTCGTGGCCCCATAGGGAGCTCCACCGAAGGCCCCAGTGGCAGGGTTCGCATGGCGGCCCCGCCCATTTTGGCGCACCCCTCACACGGTTCGTGGCCCCATAGGGAGCTCCACCGAAGGCCCCAGTGGCAGGGTTCGCATGGCGGCCCCGCCCCATTTTGGCGCACCCCTCACACGGTTCGTGGCCCCATAGGGAGCTCCACCGAAGGCCACAGTGGCAGGGTTCGCATGGCGGCCCCGCCCCATTTTGGCGCACCCCTCACACGGTTCGTGGCCCCATAGGGAGCTCCACCGAAGGCCCCAGTGGCAGGGTTCGCATGGCGGCCCCGCCCCATTTTGGCGCACCCCTCACACGGTTCGTGGCCCCATAGGGAGCTCCACCGAAGGCCCCAGTGGCAGGGTTCGCATGGCGGCCCCGCCTCATTTTGGCGCACCCCTCACACGGTTCGTTGCCCCATAGGGAGCTCCACCGAAGGCCCCAGTGGCAGGGTTCGCATGGCGGCCCCGCCCATTTTGGCGCACCCCTCACACGGTTCGTGGCCCCACAGGGAGCTCCACCGAAGGCCCCAGTGGCAGGGTTCGCATGGCGGCCCCGCCCATTTTGGCGCACCCCTCACACGGTTCGTGCCCCATAGGGAGCTCCACCGAAGGCCCCAGTGGCAGGGTTCGCATGGCGGCCCCGCCTCATTTTGGCGCACCCCTCACACGGTTCGTCGCCCCATAGGGAGCTCCACCGAAGGCCCCAGTGGCAGGGTTCGCATGGCGGCCCCGCCTCATTTTGGCGCACCCCTCACACGGTTCGTGGCCCCATCGGGAGCTCCACCGAAGGCCCCAGGGGCAGGGTTCGCATGGCGGCCCCGCTTCATTGTGGCGCACCCCTCACACGGTTCGTGGCCCCATAGTGAGCTCCACCGAAGGCCCCAGTGGCAGGGTTCGCATGGCGGCCCCGCCTCATTTTGGTGCACCCCTCTCACGGTTCGTGGCCCCGCAGGGACATAGGGAGCTCCACCGAAGGCTTCAGTGGCAGGGTTCGCATGGCGGCCCCGCCCCAGTGTGGCGCACCCCTCACACGGTTCGTGGCCACATTGGGAATTCATTTTGCTTCGTCCCACCTGCCCTGCGGTATTCACGTTTGCATATGGTTGGGTCCTTCGCCAGGATAATTCATGTTTTCTCGGCGAGGACCATCGCGGAGCATCTCGAATCATCTCAACGAAAAACACCACCTCTCCTCACGGTTTCTCCTCTCCTTCCTCCTCCTCCTCTTCCTTATCCTCCTCCTCCTCCTCCTCCTCAGCATCATCATCATCATCATCAGCATCATCATATTCCTCTTCCTCTTCCTCCTCCTCCTGCTCCTGCTCGTCGTCCTCGTCCTCGTCCTTGTCCTCCTCTTCTTCCTCGTCTTATGATGTTCCAACCTATTTTAGCTTTGGTCGCCAGGAAGAATATCGAGCACAAAAAAGTACCTCGAATTCGAAGGTTGTCACGTGTCGGGCCCTGGGAGACACTCGTGCGACATTGTTTCGATACTCTTTCGGCATTTTTCCGGGTGCTCGAAATTATGTCTGGGATGTAGTCCTTAAGTACGATGGGAGCAACTTAATCCCCGTCCAGTCCTCATCGTTACAAGTAATGCTTCCCTTGTCGCACCCCGAGGACGGTCGAAAAGGCGGGCCGAGCGTTCCGATTGAGATGTCCTCAACATTTGATACGTAGTCCTGAAGCTTGAAAATTAGCAACGCTTTCACAGACGGAGAACATTGCAAGAGCTTCACGGATTGAGGGCGGGCGGTTTTGAACGTGTGGTTCGCGCCTTAGCGCCGCGCACATTCGTTTAACACATGCAAGATAGGCACGGATTGAGGGCGGTTCGTTTTCAAAATGTGGTTCTCGTTTTAGCGCCACGCGCATCCGTTTCAAAGTTTCAAACGTTTCACACAACCCCATGGTCAAAGTACCAGAAATGGCGTCTTGGAAGAATTCAGGATTGTGAGGGTGCAACAGTTACTTTGATTCGCGGCGTTGGAGTCCCAGGAATGGCCTTCTGGCACAATTCAGGATCGTCAAGACGCAGCAGTCAGGTTGATCCGTGGCGTTGGAGTCACGATAGTGGTGTTTTGACATACATCAGGGTCTTCATACGGTTGTCTCCCAAAGAGGCAGCTACCTCAGTGGAAATGAAACCGTGTAGGGACCGAGCAGCAGGGAGCTCGAAAGGAGGTTTTATTCCAACACCGTCGATGAGTCCTGTGTTTGCATTGGTCCTCCTCCTCGTCACCCTCCTCCACCTCCTCCTCCTTCTCCTCCTCCTC